GATAGAGAAACTGATAGGATTACTACCTGCTGGGCTTTTCAAACTACACGTCCAAGTCTCTTAGATGTGTAGTTTGAAAAGCCCAGCAAGCAATTGTTGTTCAGAGATTGAAGCTTAAGAGTAAGAGACTGTGCTGGATCTATAGCTGGGAGTCATCTTCATAGACAAGATAGTTAAACCCATGGAACCTGAAGAGGTCACTAAGAGAGATAATAGATTGTCAATCACTTATCAAAGATTTGGTCCAAAGAACAGAATCAGTTGCCCCCCTTTAACTGAAGGTTTGTCCAAAGAACAAACAAAATGGAGTTCCCCTTACCAAAGATTTGAACAAGGGACAAGCAGAATCAGGCTGTACATGCACTATAGCATGCTTATTTATTGTCATTAAGCCAGAAAATCGTGCATGTTGGAGTCAGAAAATAATTCTGAACTCAGAGGTAAATAAGCTGAAGAAGACTTTTTATCCACTTAGAGCAATCCCAACTCAGGATGCCTGTGTCAACCCAAAATTATAGTTTCCATATGTATTTAACCATAATGTGAGAAAGGAATTTTTTTTTTCCTGAGGCAATTGGGGTTAAGTGACTGTCACACAGCTAGTAAGTGTTATGTGTCTGAGGCCAGATTTGAACTTCAGGTCCTCCTGACTCTAGGGCCAGTGCTTTATCCACTGTGCTACCTAGCTGCCCTGAGAAAGGAATTTCTTTTTTTTTTTTAATTTAAATTTTTTTATTTTTTCCATATGCTTTTCAGTTGAAAATTTTTCTCCCTTTTCCTCCCCCCCCCCAAGACGGCACACAATCTGATATAGGCTTTACATTTACATACCCATTAAACATATTTTCACATTAGTGAAGTTGTAAGTAAAAATTAAAACCAATACGAGGAACCATCAGAAAGATGAAACAAAATTCAACAGAAGGTAAAAGTAAGTGATAGCAATTCGACTTCCATGGTTCTTTCTTTGGATGTGAACAGCATTATCCATCCCAAGGCCTCTGGAAATGTCTTAGATCCTCATAATGCTGAGAAAGGTTCAGTTTAACAATCTTAGTCATTGCATAACGTGGCTGTTATTGTGTACAAAGTCCTCTTGGTTCTGCTCACTTCACTCAGCATCAGACCATATAAGTCTTTCCAGGTTTTTCTGAAGTCAGCCTGTTCATCATTTCTTATAGCACAATAGTATTCCATTACATTCATATACCACAACTTGCTCAGCCATTCCCCAATTGATGGGCATCCTCTCAATTTCCAATTCTTTGCCACCACAAAAAGAGCTGCTATGAATATTTTTGTACATGTGGGTCCTTTTCCCATTTGTTTGATCTCTTTGGGATATAGCCCTAGAAGTGCTATTGCTGGATCAAAGGGTATGCACATTTTTGTAGCCCTTTGGGCATAGTTCCAAATTGTTCTCCAAAATGGTTGGATCATTTCACAACTCCACCAACAATGTTTAGTGTTCCAATTTTCCCACATCTTCTCCAACATTTATCATTTTCCTGTTTTGTCATGTTGGCCAATCTGATAGGTGTGATGTGGTACCTCAGAGTTGTTTTTTTTTTTCTAATCAATAATGATTTAGAGCATTTTTTCATATGACTATAGATGGCTTTAATTTCTTCATCTGAGAACTGTCTGTTCATATCCTTTGACCATTTATCAATTGGGGAATGGCTTGTGTTCTTATAAATTTGTCTTAATTCTCTATATATTTTAGAAATGAGGCCTTTATCAGAGAGACTGGTTGTAAAAATTCTTTCCCAATTTTCTACCTTCCTTCTAATCTTAGTTGCATTGGCTTTGTTTGTGCAAAAACTTTTCAATTTAATGTAATCAAAATTATCCATTTTGCTTTTCATAATGTTCTCTATCTCCTGTTTGGTCATGAATTCTTCTGTTCTCCATAGATCTGATAGGTAAACTATTCCTTGTTCTCCCAGTTTACTTATGGTATCAGCCTTTATATCTAAGTCATGAACCCATTTTGACTTTATTTTGGTATATGGTGTGAGATTTGGGTCTATGCCTAGTTTCTGCCATACTCTTTTCCAGTTTTCCCAGCAGTTTTTTTCAAAGAGTGGGTTCTTATCCCAGAAGCTGGGGTCTTTGGGTTTATCAAATAATAGATTACTATAGTCATTGACTACTGTGTCTTGCATATTTAACCTATTCCACTGATCCACCTCCCTATTTCTTAGCCAGTACCAAGCAGTTTTGATGATTGCTGCTTTATAATACAATTTAAGATCTGGAATTGCTAGGCCACCTTCCCCTGCATTTCTTTTCATTAGTTCCTTTGATATTCTGGACCTTTTGTTTTTCCAAATGAATCTTGTTATTATTTTTTCTAACTCTATAAAATAATTTTTTGGTAGTTTGATTGGTATGGCACTGAATAAGTAAATTAGCTTAGGTAGGATTGTCATTTTTATTGTATTAGCTCGGCCTACCCATGAGCAACTGATGTTTTTCCAATTATTTAGATCTGATTTTATTTGTGTGAAAAGTGTTTTGTAATTGTGTTCATAGAGTTCCTGGGTTTGTTTCGGGAGGTAGACTCCTAAATATTTTATGATGTCTACAGTAAGTTTGAGAAAGGAATTTCTTAATGGATAGCTTGTAAATATAATAAGATAAGAGAATGTCAAGGTGTCAGTTGAAATTGACAAGACAAGATGGACCCTATTTACAGAAAGACTGTGGAAGAGATCTAGGAGTGGCCAAGTAGTTTGAGGTGAATGGAAGAGGGGTCTAAGGAAGATCTGGATAGGAGTAGCCAGTAAGCTGGGGTGAACAGAACTCCTGGGACCTGGACCACATGGCCAAAGTCTCCCTTGGAGTCTAGATAAGATTAAGGGTGGCAAGTGGCAGGGGGCCATCTGGAGGTAATAGACAATGGAAGGGTAGGCTAGGTGAAGGGTAACAGAGAATTGGGAGATTGAGGGTAGGCAATAATGAAAGGCCAGTTGATAGGATTATAGCCTCAGGTGAACACCAGAGACCTCCCTGATCAACTGGGAGGATTCTGGGAGAATTCTAGGAGAATCCCTTAGACAAATGGGACCCAAATTCTTTTTGGGGTAAGGGGCAAAGGTCTTGGCTTAGGCTCATACCCCTGCAACATAACATAACATAAGAAAACATTAAAAAGTCCCATTATTCAATATAGTGTCCAGTTCAAGGCACCTTGTCCTTGGTAGTCATAAACAGAAGAATGCTCCTGATCATCCTGGTTGATGAGGTGTAGATTCTTGGGGTGCTGGGAACCCCAAGATCATGACATGTGGGTCCTGCCCAAATGAATTCGACTCAAGTCTTCTTTCAGCCAAAGATAAAGTTTTATTACCTATGACCCATATATGCCAGACTCTTAAGGAATTTGAACAGTAGTGACACCTGTAAGGACAAGCAGGCATGAGGAAATCTCAGCATTTAAATGAGGGCCAGGATGGATCTTATCTACACCCAAGTAATTTTGGATGTTTGGAGGAGGGGCAGGGAGAAAGATCCTGAAGCTGGGGTGAGTTTAGAGAGAATTCCGATGGGAATGTCTGGGAGATAGAATAGGGCCACTCTGGAATAGACCATGGAGGGCTAGGCTTTATTAGTGTAACAAAGAACTGGTTGGAAGAGATTGACAAGATCAAAGGTGGGATCGAAGACTAGGCTTCATCAGGGTTCCAAAGGGAGATAAGGGAGAGCAGGTCCATCAGAATAAGAATAAGAGATAAGGAAAGGCCAATTACTGTTTGAGACCAAGTAGATGAGTAAGATCAAAGAAAGTTTAAGGGTTTTCTGGGGCCCATAGACAAATGGGACCCAAATTCTTCTTTGGGGCAAAGGACAAAAGATCTTGGCTTAGGCCCATACCCCATCTGGCCTTATAGTTGCTGACTCAGGAAGGGGCATTTTGGGTTCATTCAGAGAGCAAAGCAAAGCCTTGTTATGCTAGAGCACACAAAGCATTAAGGTAGGTTAAGCTCAGAGTGGGCCAAACTGTCTTTCTCCTGATTGGCCTTTCTCAGGCGATGGGGGGGGGGGCCTCAAAATGGTTTACCCAGGATAATAATAGCTAGCATTTATTTAGCACTCTAAGGTTTGAAAAGCACTTGACAAACAGTTGACTGAGAACTGAAAGGACCTAACCTGGGTTCCAAGGCCAATGAATTGCATGGGGCTGACCAGACATTGTTACCCCAGCCTCTGATTATTTTGTAATTCTCCCAAATTCTCCTGTGTGTTGTGCTGGGTGGCACCCAGAGCTGCAACTCACTTGCCCCGATAAAAGACCTCCATTTTGTTGTATTGGCTGTTTTTCATTAAAATTCTGGTTGACACACTTTGCAATTATCTTCACAACACCCCTGGGAGGTGGGTGGTATTATTATACCTGATTTTTACAGGTGAGGAAAAACTGAGGCAGACAGGGTAAGTCATTTGCCAAGGGTCACATAAGCTAGAAAATGTCTGAGGCCAAATTTGAACTTCCTTACTCAGGCCCGGCTCCCCTATCCACTGTGCCCACGACTGGGTGCTCAATGGATTACTTGACAGAGAGCACAGGCGGGCAATCACACATCAATGGCTTGGATCGTTCCTCTTTCTCTTGGGAAAGAATCCTCTGGCCCACAGATCCATCGCCAATTCTAATATCTGTGTATAGAAAGGGGCGTTGGGACGCAAAACTGTGGATTGAAGTGGGTGAGAACAGGGTGCAGCGAGTCCAGAGCAGGCGTGGGGGAGGGGGGCGCGGGACCGGGGGGAGGAAGGGGCGATACCATCGGAGACTCAGACATGCGCAGATACCACCATTAGTAATAAACGAAAAAACTGCCTGCTTGCTCAGGATGGAAGCAGGCAAGCGCCAATGGGCGTGACGTCAGAGAGGGCGGAGCGGGTTGGCCCGCGAGTTCTGCCTCCCTCCCGCCGAATTACATGCCAGCCTTCTCCCCACGTCATTCGTACAGGCCGCTCCCCTGGCCTTTCAGAGAGGGAGGGGGAGGGCACGGGCGCGCAAGAGCAGTAAAGGCGCGTGCGCGCTGGGCTCTTCTCGCCTCAAACTTCCCTCCGCGAGCCCTAATTGGAGCTGGCGGTCATGGCTGTGGAGGAAGTCGGGTCTGCGGGATCCGTGAGTGTTCTCTCCCCTTTGCCTTCCTCAGTATTTTCTTCTCGTAGCCCTTCCGTTTCGTGTCTCCATCCGTCTTCTTCCCCGCCCCCGCTCATGCGCATATCCGATCTCCGAGGGCTCGAGAAGGAACTGAAACATCTGGCCCGAAGAAGCCCTGGGGGGTAGAGGTGGCCCTGCTTGGGCCAGCTGCACGGCTAGGGGGCACTAAACCTGAGTTCAAGTCCCGTCTCAGCTCCTAGCTGTGTGACCGGCCAGTCACGTAACCGCCGCCTGCCTCAGTTTCCTTTCTTGCAAAACAGGGGTAATCAATCTATCAGTAAACGTTTACTAAGTGTCTACTGTATGTCAGGCATTGAGCTAAGCGCTGGAGATACAAAAAGAGGCAAAAGACAGCCCGTGCCCTCAAGGAGTTCGTAATCTAATCATATCACCTTCCCCCCTTCCCATCAGGTGCCGTGTGGATCAAGTGATAGAATATTTGCAAAGTGTTTTGCAAACCTTAAAAGTGACATATAAATACTGTTATGAAAAACTTCTGCTCATGTACAGCCTATATCAGGTTGCTTACAGTCTCAGGGAAGGATGGAATTTGGCATTCAAAACTTCTTTTCTTAAATGTTAAAAATTGTTTTGACATGTGATTGGGGGAAAAATGAACTGGTTTTTTTTTTAAACTTCTATTTGAATGAGGTCTTCCAATTGAATTAAAAAATATTTGTTAATTGCCTACTGGAGGAAGTGTATGTCATCAATGATACCTACCCACAGATGGAAGAGACCTTAGTGACCATAGAAATCAACTAGCACCTGAAAGGAACCCCATTCTCCAGACTTTCATGTAAAAATAGATAAGGAGGTCAGTCAGTAGGTGTTTAGTACTTACTATGTGCCAGGCACCATATTGAGCAATGGGGATGCAAAGGCAGAACAGGGTTCATGTATCTAATGAGAGAAATAACATGCAAATAACCAAGTACATACAAGATTTATACAGTGTAAGTGGAAGGTAATTTCCAGGGGAAAGCATGGAGGGGGAGGCTTCCTATATAAGGTGATCATTTGCAGGATTTGAGGTGAGTTTTTTTTTAAATTAATTTATTTTGATTTGTCAGCAATCACTTCCATAAGCTTTTGAGTTTTAAATTTTTCTCCCCCTCCCCACCTCCCTCCCCAAGACAGTGTGCAATCTGATATGAGCTCTACATTTACATTCCTATTAAACATATTTTCACATTAGTGATGTTGTAAGTAAGAATTAGAGCCAATAGGAGGAACCACCAGAAAGAGGAAACAAAACACAACAAGAAAAAAATAGCAAATAGTATGCTTCGATCTGCATTCAAACTCCATAATTCTTTCTCTGGATGTGGATAGCATTTTCCATCATGAGCCTTTGGAGATGTCTTAGATCCTTGCATTGCTGAGAAGGGCTAGGTCTATCATTGTTAGTCATTGCACAATGTAGCTGTTAGTGTGCACAACGTTCTCCTAGTTCTGCTCACTTCACTTAGCATCAGTCCGTAAAAGTCTTTCTAGGTTTTTCTGAAGTCGGCTTGCTCATCATTTCTTATAGCACAATAGTATTCCATTACATTCATATACCACAACTTTTTCAGCCATTCCCCAATTCATAGGAATCCTCTCAATTTCCAATTCTTTGCCACCACAAAAAGAGATGCTATAAATATTTTTGTACATGTGGGTCCTTTTCCCATTTTTGTGATCTTTTTGGGATACAGCTCTAGAAGTGCTATTGCTGGGTCAAAGGGTATGCACATTTTTATAGCCCTTTGGGCATAGTTCCAAATTGCTCTCCAAAATAGTTGGATCATTTCACAACTGAGGTGAGTTTTGAAGGAAACCAGGAGGCAGAGGTAAGGAAGGAAGGTATTTCAGGCATGGGGGACAGCCAGTGAAAAGTCAGAGATGCAATTGTGGGTTTAAGACACCAGTTAGAGGATCCAGTATGACTGGATCTTAGACTATGAGGAAGGCAGTAAAATATAAGAAAAATGGAAAAATAAGGAGTCAGGTTGTAAATAGGGCTTTTAAAAACCAAAGAAAAAAATTGTATATTTGATCTGGAGGTAATAGGGAGCTATTGGAGTTTATCGAGTGGGGAATGTGACCTGGTTAGATTTGGGCTTTTTAGGGAGATCATTTTGACAGCTGAGGGGAGAATTAACTGGAATGAACCCAAGTCTGTACTTGAGGCAAGGAGACTAACTTCCAGTAGTTAGACTAGCTGTCTGCTATAACAGTCCTTGTGTGAGGTGGGGAGAAGTTAACCTCTAAGAAAGATAGTGTGAAGATAGAAACAACTGCTGTCTCGATGGCCATTTTCATGTCTTCCTTTCTACAAGGGTACTTGGCACAGAAAACAGAACACTTTTTAATCCTGTGCAATTCTTGTCTGTGTCCTTCCCTAGGGTGGGGCAGTTCACTAGGTTAAAGGATGAAGCAGTGTGTTGGCGGGAGAGAGACTGTGGAATTTGAGGTCTTGAGGTTCAATTCCAGGTCTAGTTTCTGTGTAACCTTGGGCAACTTTCTGGGCTTGGGTTCCTTTATTTGAAAATGTGGGAGGCTGTGTAGTAGAATGAAAAGAGTACTGGGATCCATAGTCAAGAAGTCTTCTCACTTCTTTTTTTTTCTTTTAAACAAGGCAGTGGTGTGAAGTGACTTGCCCAGGGTCACACAGCTAGTAAATGTCAAGTGTCTTAGGCCAGTTTTGAACTCAGGTCTTCCTGAATCCAGGGCCGGTGCTCTATACACTGCACCATCTAGCTGCCCCAAGTCTTACTTCTGCTACTTACTCTCTGTATAACATTAGGTTAGAGGTTCTTAACCTGGTCCTTGGATAGATTTCAGGGGTCTGTGAAATTGGAACGGGAAAAAACCCCATCTTCATTTAACATAATTGGTGTCCTTTGTAATACTGTGTATTCTATTTTATGCGTTTAAGAACATTATTTTGAAAAAGGGTTCACAGGCTTGAGCAGACTGCCAAAGAGGTCCATGATACAGAGGTCTCTTTTGGCTTTTAAGAAGTTTCCTTATAAGGTATGGAGAACACATTTGGCCCATCACATTAAAGAAAATTAATTATGATAATCATATGTCATAGCTTATTTCTCTCAGGGTGGTTTCTTCCTTTTCTCTAGATCTGTTTCTGTCCTCTTTTAAGGCCAAGCCCAATGGTTCAGCTCAGATAGTCCGGCCATGACCCAGTCATCCTTAGTATGGTGTCAGTGGGGCCAGCAGGTATCCTGAGCGAGGGTGGAGCCCATCAAAGGTACAAAAGTTCCATAGGAATGTCCATACCTTGTTTATGGAGGCATCTTGAAAGCTAGAACAAAGACATCATCATTTAAAATCTTATATTGACCAGGTTCCTGATCACACCCTCTATAAACCTGTGATTTTGGGTCATAGATTTGGAACAGAAGCAGACCTGAGGTGTCATCTCATCCTCAAATTTTGCAGATGAGAAAGCTGAATCCCAGAGAGGAAGTCCCACAGGTAGAAAGTAACAGAACTGGAATTTGAACCCATGCCTTCTTAATCCAGATCCACTGCTCTTTCCATGTAGGCCTCAACCTGCTAGAGGCCATCCTCTGACTCCTTTAGCATGCATGGATATTGGTGTGGAACTTGGGCTGTCCCATCAGCTCTGACTGCCCTAGCTCCCATTTTTCTAATACATGACCTCAGTAGTCTTAGGTACTCTCCTCTTCCTTTATAGTACTTCACTTAGTGATCTTATTGGCTCTCACAGATTCAGTTTTCATCTCTATGATGATGATTCTCAAGTCTGCTTTTCCTGCCCTAACCTTTCTGCTTACTTCCAGCTTCACATTTCCAACTACTTGGTAGACATCTCAAACTGAATGTCCCATAAACATCTTAAGCTTAACGTGTCCAAAACTGGACTCGTTATCTTTACCCCCGAACTCTCCTAGCTCCTACCTTCCATATTACTGTAGAGGGCAATGCCAATCCTCCCAGTCCCTCAGGCTCATAACTTAAGTGTTATCCTCAACTCCTCACTTTCTCTCACCCTCCATAGTCAGTCTGCTGCAAAGTCCTGTCATTTCTACCTTCTTGGCATCTCTCAGATATGCCCTTCTTTCCTCAAACGCTGCTGGCAACCCTAGTTTGGGCCCTTATATCATACCTAGACTAATGTAATGACCTACTGCTTGGTTTTCCTGCCACAAATTTTCCCCATTCCAGTCTGTCCTCCAATCTGATGTCGAAGTGATCTTTCTAAATCGTAGATCAGAACACGTCACCCCCCATGCAATAAATTCCAGTGGTTCTCTATCACCTCTAGGATAAAATATAAAATTCTCTGGTATTCAAAGCCCTACATAACCTGCAGCCTCCTTCCCCCCCTCCCCACTTCAGTCTTCTTACTCCTTATACTCAATCTCCTAGCTCAGGGCATTTTCACTGGCAGTGTTGTCTTGGTCATCCCCCCCAGCCACGCCCATGCCTGAAATGATCTCCTTGCTTTCCTGGCTTCCTTCAAGTTCCATCAAAAATCTCATCTTCTCTTGATTATTTCCAATTTATCCTGTATATAGCTTGTTTGTATCTAGTTGTTTACACATCTCCCATTAGACTACAAGTTCCTTGAGATCAGTGTCTGGCTTTTACCTTTTCTTTGCATCCCTAGCACTTAGCGCAGTGCCTGGCAGTAGTAGGTATTTAATAAATGTTTATTGACTGACTGACTCAGAGGGACTCACTATCTTATGGAAGTCAGTATTGGTAATATGATATAGTCTCCTCATTCCCATCATGCAGTTGGGATTCAAGCCCAGAGTTTTTTCCTACATAAAATCCAGTGTTCTCATGCATATCGTACTCAGTTGTGCATTTTTCATCCATTGTGTTTTTGGTGTGGTTGCCCATTGTCTTTTATATTGCCATGGATTTCACTGAGGAGGCTGGCCTTTACTGTTTACTATCTCTGACCTTGGGCAAGTCACTTAACCCATCTGGGTCTCATCTGTAAAATGAGAGGATGGATCCTGTGGTTTCATCAGTGTAGGGGACTCCCAGGGAGGAAACTGCTTCTACCAGTGCAGATCAGCATCTTCTTCTCTGCACTTTGTCTTAGCACTGTAGATCTAGAGTTGGAAGGGACTTCAGAGACCATCCATTTCAATTCCCTGATTTTACAGATGAGGAAACTGAGGTCCATATAGGTTAAGTGACATGCCCAAGGTTACCCAACCAACATATGTCAGAGGTGGGACTTAATCCTAGGTCTTTCAGTCTCTGTGGCTATCTCTCTCCACTATGCCAAGCTACCTTTCTAAACTCCACTTTTGAGAGTCTGTTCTTTATAATGTTTAACAGATACTTTCAGGGGTGGGGAACCCGTGGCCACGGCACTGGAGGACCTAGAGGGCCACATGTGGCCTTGAGGCTTTAGGTTCCCTACCCCTGTCAAGACCAACCCAGTGCTCCCCACTCTGTTAATTTTGTTCTGCCTCACTTAACTCCTATTCCAGTTCCCTGTTATAATCTCAGGTCTCTATAGGTGCCTAAAAAAATCAAGATTTTTATAGTTTGAATTTTGAATCCTCAAGACAAAACTCATTATTCTTATGGGGCCAACTGCCCCCTTTCACCCAATGTTGGCCCAAACACAGGAGTTTGGTGTGGTGGAAAAAGCATTGATTGAAATCAAGACTTGAGTTTGAATCTTGGTTCTCTTACTCACTCTCTGTATCATCACCTTAGGAAAATCACATGTTATTTCTGAGTCTGTCTTCTCATCTGTAAAATAAGGGAGTTAGAGTAGATGGCCTCAGGGGTCCCTTCCAGCTTGAGTTCCATGGTCCTATGACAAGTTGAAGAGATGATGTTATGGTGGGAGGAGTTTCCTCACTGGGAGTTCCCTGTCCTGATGAAAACTCTGGCTCCATTCTCTTCCAGCTCTAAGTGAGGATTCTGTGATTTACCCTAATTTTTTTTTTAAGGCAGTTGGGGTTAAGTGACTTGCCCAAGGTCACACAGCTAGTAAGTGTCAAGTGTTTGGTCTGAGGCAGAATTTGAACTCAGGTCCTCCTGACTTCAGGGCCAGTGCTCTATCCACTGTGCCACCTAGCTGCCTCTTTGACTCACCCTAATTAATGAAATTAGGCAACAAGGACCTGTAATTCTGTACTTCTTCTCCCCACTCTTCTTCTCTTCTCTTTTTTCCATTTTATTTTCTTTTTATTCTGAACTAAACTTAAACACCAAATTGAACCAAATCAGCATTTCCTTAAACAAATATGGAACAGGAAATAATTGTTTATGAAATTATGAATCTTATTTTATAGAACCTGCTTTTTAAAAAATGATATAATAATAAATTCAGCATGTAACTTTCAAAGGTGTCCTACTTGTCAATCTCTGGCTTTCCATTCTGTTCTCTCTTTTTTGGTGGGAAGTCATATTGCTAGACTCCTTTTCTCTACTTTATTCTCTGCCAAAAAGGGGGGGGGAGAAAGAAAAACAAAAGCATTGTAACATTTGAAATCCATCAAAATAAATTCCTAAGTTAATCATATCCAGAAATGAATGTCTCATTCCATAGTATGTCTTCTTGTCCTACCTCTCTCAGGAGGTGGGTAGTGTGCTTCATCATTGGTCTTCTGGAGTCGTGGTTGATCATTGCATCAATCTTAGTTCTTAAATCTTTCAGAGTTGTTTACTTTTACAGTGTTGCGGTTGTTGTGTAAATTGTTCTGCTGGATCTGCTCACTTGATTCTGCATCAGTTCATATGAGTCATCCCAGATTTCTCTGAAACTATTCCTTTTATCATTTCTTGCTAGCAATAAAATCCATGGGGAAGGGGAAAGGAAAGGAACAAACACTTATTAAGTGCTTACCAGGCACTGTACCTGAGTACTTTACAAATATTTCATTTATGTACTGCATGTATATGTGTATGTATATGTGTGTGTGTATATATGTACATTTTATATATAAACATACATATATATACTCTACACACAGACACATACACATTTATATACTATAACTTGTTCAGCCATTCACCTATTTATGAAAACCCCCTTTCTAGTTTCTGGTTCTTTGTTACTGCAAAAAGAGATGCTGTAAATATTTTTGTACATATAAGTCTTTTTCCTTTTATTTATTTATTTTTTAAGAAATCTCTTTGGGGTATAGGCCTAATAGGGGTATTGTTGGGCCAAAGGGTGTTCACAGTTTAGTGATTTGGGGGCCTTCTATTCTCTACTGACTTCTACTCACTCTAAATTCTTTGGTTGAAGGAAGAGTGATTAAACTAACTTCTTCCCATTTTCATTTCCCCTAGGAGCAAGCTTGGCTGCAGGCTGTCCATTCCTTCATCCAGAAGAACCTATGTCCAACCAGCAAAGATCCTTGTATCCAGTTGGTAGAAGCAGTGGTTAACTGCGTGAAGGCTAGCTGGTCATCCTCAGGAGGAACCGGAGGTCTCAACCTGCCTCTCAGCTACAGGTAAGGAACCAGAGTCGAGACAAGAGGAAGTGGGGAAAGGCTGTCAAGGGATGACCCAAGGGAAGGGAAGATCAGAGCACAGTTGCTCTCCACCAGGAATTTCTATACTCTGAAGAAAATGTCTCTTTTTGGGGGGTAGGGGGGAGGAGTGTGGGTTCCAAATGAAGAGGAGAAAAAGAACAGCTGGGTTCTACACACGTTAAAAATATTACTTATTATCACTAGTTACTACCACTAGCTAACATTTCTTGTTTTTGTTGTTCCGTTGTATCCAACTCTTCATGACCCCATTTGGAGTTTTCTTGGCAAAGATACTAGAGTGGTTTGCCATTTCCTTCTCCAACTCATTTTACAGATGAGGAAACTGAGGCCAAGATGGTTAAGTGACTTACCTAGGGTCACATATTTATAGAGCACTTACCATGCCAGGCACTGTGCTCAGTGCTTTACAATCTCATTTGATGCTCAAAACCACCCTGGGAGGTAGGTGCTATTATTTTCCCCATTTTATGGATGAGGAAATTTAGGCAAACAGAGGTTAAGTGACTTCCTAAAGTCACATAGCTGATGAGTGTCTGACATTAGGTTTGAAATTAGGTCTTCTTGACTCCAGGCCTGGCACAATGCCTGGAACTACCTACTAATAATACCTCAGCTTTGCATTCTGCTTTATAATTTTCATAGTGCTTTTACACCCATGATCTTTGATCCTCACAAGAGCACATTTTCCTGATGCCATTTCACGTATGAGGAAACTGAGGAGACTCAGAGATTTACCCAAGGTCACGTGGCTTAGTAAGTGATGGAGATCCACACTGTCATTTACACTAAGACACTATTACCTTTAGGATCCAGGGTAGACTTCCTGGTTGTCATTTGAAGCCCTTCATAAAAAATCAAAACCAGACAAACCAAAAAAAAGCCCTTCCCAACTTGACCCCATTCTGCCTTTCCAGCCTGATTGAACGCTGCTCCCCTTTGTACATACGCATTGTAGTCCAGCCAGGTTGGCCACCTTACTGTTTCACATGTTCATTTCACAAGATGTCTTTCATCTTGGTGCCTTTCTGTACTGGCTGTCTTTCATGTCTGGAGTAGCCTTCTTCCACATTTCTGCCTCTAGAATCACTGTTCCCTTCAGTTTGGTTTACATACCCCTTTTGCACATGAAGCCTTTCCTCGTCTCCCCTTTGCAGCTAATGCCATGCCCATAATATTATGCTTATTTTTTTATGGATTTCGTGTAATAGTTAGCATTTATACAGCACTTTAAGATTTGCAAAGTGCTTTATAAGTATTCTCCCATTTTATCTTCACAACAATCCTGGGAGGTAGGTATGGGAACTAGTATTATCCCCATCTTACAGATGAGGAAACTGAGGCCAAGCAGGTTAAGTGCTTGTCTAGGACCACACAGCTAGTGAGTGTCTGAGGCTGGATATGTCCTCAGGTCTGCCTTCTGTAGTTGTGCGCTCTCTCCGTTTCTCCATTGTTCCCTTTAACTGGTTACATACCTACGTATGTCCATGTGGACTCTTGGCTGGATTGTAAGATCCTAAAAGATAAGTACTGTTCCACTTTCGTCTCAGTATCCCTTAAGCTTAACAGAGTGTTTGACAAGTAGCAGGCCTTTAATAAATATTTATTGATTAATTGATTTAAGTAATAGCTTGGTTCAGTAAAAAGAACACGCATTCTGCTCTGGATTCAAATCCTACCTCAGACAATACCTTAGTAACCTCGTTAAGCCGCTTAACCTCTTTAGATTCAGTTTCATCATCTGACAAATGAAAGCATTGTACTAAATGGTTTCTAAGCCCCTTTCCAATTCTGTAGCCCTAATTCTGCGAACCGCAAGGTTTTTGTTACTGTTTTTAAAGAGAAATATAAAATATTCAATTTACTCACTTTTAAAATAAAACATTGGGAACATAAAGCTTTATTCAGTAAGTATCACATTGACTATATTCTATCCAATTAAGAGAAAGAACAGTTGGCAGCATGGAATAAAGAAAGCTTGCCTTAAGGCTAGAAAGACCTGGTTTGAGTCTCACCTCTGACAAACTGGTATGTGACCCTGGGCAAATCACTTACCCCTTCAATGCTGTGGTCAACTCTTTAAGACTATAACTTGAAGAGAAAAGAGCTGACCTACATTGGGAGAGGGAGTTTCTTTCTTTCTTTCTTTTTTTTCCTGAGGCAATTGGGATTAAGTGACTTGCCCAGATTGCTGAGGGTCACACAGCTATTGAGTTTTATGTATCTGAACCCGAATTTAAACTCAGGTCCTCCTGAACTCCAGGGCTCTTGCTCTGTCCACTGTGCCACCGAGCTGCCCTAAGAGGGAGTTTCTTTATCTAGGAGTTCCCCATAATAGTGTCAGGAAAGGGAGAGAGTCAGTAGTGTCTGTTGCTGTAGAGAGGTTGAGAAGAATGAGGATCTAGAAAAGGCCATCTGATTTGGTAATTCAGAGATCGTTAGGAGCATTGGAGAGAGAGAGAGAGAAGTTTTAATTCAGTGATGATGTTGGAAGCTAGATTACAGAAGATTGAGAAAAAAAGAGTGATTGGAGAAGTGAAAGCAATAAGTGTAGACAGCTCTAATCAGCCAGACCACTTCTGAACTGCCTAGGGCTAGGCTGTGCTCGCTGTCACCCCTAAATTCTGGTTTCAACTTGCTGTCTCATTGGCCCATAGTAGGTGCTTAATAAATACTCGTTGATTGATTGTTAAATTCTTACCCATATAGGTCTTTCCAAGTTTTTCTGATACCATCTCCTTCATTATTTCTTACAACATAATAGTATATAATCATATTAATATACCATAACTTGTTCAGTAGGAGATCTTTTCTTAACCAAACAAGAGATAGAGGCAATTACAAAAGATAAAATAGATAACTTTGATAATATGAAACTGAAAAGCTCTTTACAAACAAAATTGAGGTACCTAAGATAAGTGTTCAAAAGGGAAAAAAAATCCTTGTATCAAATTTCCCTAATAAGATATGTAAACAATAGATAAGCTATTACACAATAGATAAGTGGTGAAAGGAAAGAAGAATTGCAAACTATTAAATAATAGTAAGAGAAATGTAAATGGAAATAATCCTGGACCAGAAAACAGGCCTAGAAGCCAAGGACATGTAAATCATAGGATCATGGATTTACAGCTGGAAGGCTCCTTAGAGGCCATCATGTCCAATCTCCTAATTTTGCAAATGAGGAAACTAAGGTTCAGAGGTGTTAAATGACTTACCTAGGGTCACATAGGTAGTAAATGTCTGAGGCAGGATTTGAACTTCAGTCTTCCTGATTCCCAGTCCAGCTTTCTCTCCGTTGTCATACTTAGCTACTCTGAGTCTAGATCCATTTTTCTCTCTACTGATCTGCACTGCTTCCTACATATATTGCTTAATAAGGTCCTGTGAAATAATTAATATCTTCTGGTTTAACTAAAATTTCTTAGGTAGGACTTATATCTTTTGGTAGATCCTCTCAACCAAGATCTTCACAGATAAACTTAACACTCTACCACCTCTAAAACCTTTCCAAAGGGTGAAAGCAGAGGAGCTACATATTGTACACACATATATATTTAATTATAGTAAACATTACTATTATCTGGATTGCTTCCTTTACAAGGAGTTATTGTGGTATTTCATTAGGCTCTGTAGAGGGCTGGTGAAACATGCATTAAATTTGCTGTTTTGCTGTCTCTTGAAGTGTATTCTCTTAAAGTATAAGCTTTGTCAGCCTCATGGTAGAGCTTTGTGCCATTCATCCTGATGAGCATACCATCAATTCTTTTATTTTATTTAGGCAGTTGGGGTTAAGTGACTGGCCCAAGGTCACACAGCTAACAAGTGTCTGAGGCTGGATTTGAACTCAAGTCCTCCTGACTCCAAGGCCAAAGTTCTGTCCACTGCGCCACCTAGCTGCCCCACGCACCATCAATTCTTAAGAAAAATTTCAATAGCAGGAAAAAGCTAGAAAGCATCACAATTTTTTACACTTAAGCTTGAAACTCCGCGATCATGAAGTTCATTTTCAAACTCTTCTCTGGCTTTCAATTTCTGTGTCCATATGATCTGTTGTAGGCACAGCCTGCTTCACCAGGCAATATTCTTTTGTAATCTGTTGTATAGATCCAATTATATGGTCTAATAATCTCTTTGGAGTGTTCACCTTCCATTCTGCTCTTTTGCCATTCTTCAGCACATGCCACCTAAAGCACTCCTTGGTAGATGTTTACACATTTTAAATATCAGTCACATTAAATTCAGTTCCAAACTCAGAAACATGTTGGATTCTTAAAACCTTGTCTCCAAACATCATTTCAGGAAAAGATGGCATGTGTAGCTCATCAGCTAATTTCTCCACGTCAGCTTCCAGGACCCAAAGGAGAAGTCTTAGGGGCTGCTCTGGAAACCATGGATTATCATGGTCACAGTGGCTCTCCCCTGACCTCCCTTCCCTACTTCCCTCTCCCCAGCCCTGCCCTACCTTGGCTCTGCCCATCCTCCAGGTTTACTGGGGATTCCACCATTTACTCCCTGGTCCCCACACTTAACGCTGAGGATGAATAAAATGGAAGAAGACAAACACCTCAAGCCCATTTCTCAGGGTCACAAGGTACTTTCTGTCAGATCTGTTCATTCTGATCCTAGGCTTTGTCCTCTTCTGTCAAGTTGTCGTTCAGTCATGTCTGACTCTTTATGACTCTATTTGGGGTTTTCTTGGCAAAAGATATTGGAGTGATTTGCCAGTTCCTTCTCCAGCTCATTTTACAGATGAGGAAACAGGCCAAGAGAATTAAGTGACTTGCCCAGGGTCATATAGCTAGTAAGTGTCTGAGGCCAGATTTGAACTCGGGCCCCCCTAACTCCAGGCTCTACACTCATATCAGCTGGGCCACCTGCCACCTTCTGTCAAGTAAACCAGCCCAGTTCCTCAGTCTCATTTTAAGGCCCTGGTTTGCCCCGGGAGGTGGAGGGGAGCATTATGAGATGGGGATACTTTGTGGTAATCTTTTTTTTTTGTTTGTTTGTTTGTTTTTAAGCAGTTGGAGTTAAGTGACTTGCCCAGGGTCACACAGCTAGTAAGTGTCAAGTGTTTGGTCTGAGGCTGGATTTGAACTCAGGTCCTTCTGACCTCCTTTGTGGTAATCTTAATTGTTAGTTTTGGAAGGAGGAATCTCTGACTCCCTTTCTTCACAGTTTTGTCTCTGTGCAGGAGCTTAAGTCTCATCAACACCTCTCATGTTGTAGCCATCTGGCTTGGAGCAGTACTGAATACCAGGCTTGGGCTAACAAAGCTGGACCAAGTACGGTTCCGCTGCCAAGGGAGAGGCTGCTACTTCTAGGGACACTGACCGACCTGCCAGGGGATTTGGACTCAGAGTACAGGGATGGTAGCCTCTATGTGAAGGACAACAGTGGGACTTTGGGCTGTGAGGTAAGCTGGACCTCTGGTAGTAAGCCAGATGCCTCAGTCCATAATGATTTTGGGTGGTGGGGTGTTTGGATCTCTGGTGGAGGTGAGAAATGCCTGGGTCCCAGTTGACTTTTAATTTTGCTTTGACTTTCCTAGCTCTTGGACTTTGACCTTTCATGGCTGGGCCACCTCTTCCTTTTCCCTAGTTGGAGTTATATCCCCCCTGCCTGGCAACAGAGCTCCTTGGGAAGTGGGCATTTGGAGCTGTGGTGCCCCCCAGTTCCTGTGTTGCCTCAGATCCTCAACCATGGCCCTGAAACTCCCATAAGAGTTCTCTACCCAGAGACTGCATCCCAACTGCTCCGGCACAGGTAGTTCTTCCCGACTTTGCAGAGGAACCACTACTATAAGAGTTGTATGTTTTGGAGCAGGAGAGTCTACAACAAAAGGGAGGGAAGGATGAGGTCTACACCACCCTGAAAGGTGTGGGGCTAGGAGAGAGGTTGAAATACAGTGTTCTGAGCAGAGAGGGAGTGTAAGTACTATAAAGGTTAAGATCTTATACCTTAAGTGGGGTTAGGGAAGATAGTCTGGGAAATTTAGCCACCTGGCATTAAGGGTGAGTAGAGACTATTCTACTAAAGGAAAGGGTGGGGGCAATAAAATTATGACTCCCTTCTCCCTCTCCTCCTTTCCCTTTCAGAAGTAAGTTTCGAAGGCAGCAGCTACACCTGGCAGGGGAGCTGGTACAGTTAAGTACACTGGTAAAGACCCATCGAAAGCACTACTTCATCTTGTCACTGGGAGGCCCCTCTTCAGCCACCACTCCCATGCCCATCATTGTGCAGGTACAAGAAGATGCTAAAATGAATGGGGGAGAATGAAAAGGATAGATTGTTAGAGATCAGATCCATGGGATCATTGGGTTTAAAACTGAAAGGTTTAGAACACTGTCTTTACACTAATCTAAACCTTTAATTTTATAAGTTAGGAAATTGAGACCCAGAAAGATTAAATAACTTGCCTAAAGTTACATAGGTAGCAGTAATAACAATTGACATCTATATAACTTTAAAATTTATAAATCACCTCATATACATTGTCATTTGAAGCGGCAAAATGACTTTGTAGTATGCAGCAGAGGTACAATTTGGACTCAGGTCCTCATTACACATGATGAATTAAATGGCATTAGTTGGTTCTGTCTTTGAATTACATGCTTTGGATTGGGACTAGGGCCTGAGAAAGTAGATGGTTAATAGGGTTGGAAAGTGGGTGGCAGAGACAGTGCAGGGTTGGTATTTTGGTGAGAGCTGGAATCCCATCATGACACTCAAACCGAGTGTCATGGGTAGAGTGATTAGAGACACTAGAACTGGTCCAGTGAGTATGAGAGAAGTCGGTATGACAGGTAGTAAGGTGGTTGTGGCTAGAGGGTGGGAACACTTGGTTTGAGATCGGGGGAGGTGGTGCTCCTGGTGAGGGGGAAACTCCGTTGAGAGCTGTTCTCCTGCCCTCCCCTCTCCAGATCCCTAGCCAGTTGGTTTGGCACCATGCTCTGCGGCCCAGCTGTTCGTATGTGCTGACAAATCTGCAGATATCCACAGTCCGTGGTTTTCCTCGTCGTATTTGGACAACTAGCCCTTCTTCTGCCTTGATATCCCTAGATCCTGAGCATATACAGGAGTTTAATGTGGAAGAATTCATTTCAGAGGCTGTCCCTAGCCCACTCCCTATACCTAGCAGCTCCCAGCAGCATTGTAACTCCAGCAGGAATGTCAGGATGTTGTCATACCAGGTGAGAAAGGAGCCAGAGAGCTGGAGAACTAGAAACTTGGGGGGGTCCAGGAAGGCAAGATACTTGTGTCTCCAGGGAGAGTGGGATATGGAGAAGGATCTGACAGCTGAGTTCCTTAAGAAAGCAGGGAATCGGAGACATGAGAAGTCTGACTAAACTACCTGCCCTCTCTTCAGGGGACAGTTACTAAAGTGCTGAATGGCCCTGCTGGCCTATATGAACTAGATGGACAACTGTGTCTCTGCCTTGCCTATCTTCAGCTCCCTAATAATGGGCGGGCAATCAGGCCAGGAGTCCAACTAGAGGTAGGTGTATATGTTTGTGTGTGTTGGAGGAGGGAATGGGGGTGAGGGTGGGAGGTGGAGCTGGAGTAAAGGGAGGAGTAAAAATGTTGTAAAAAGAGACATTTCTGTGGGCCACCTGGTCATTCTGGGCTTAGCAGCCTCTCTCTTGACCCTGAGGAGCTGGCTTTGTTTTCAATGGGGCAAGTCCTGAGGAAAGTGGGTTTCTATTAAGAAGTGTTTATGTTAGCCCTCAGGAGAAACTTTCCAGAAGTGAGGTCGGGTCTCACCTTAATTTCTTTCCTGAACTCCAGTCCACCTTGCCAGCTTCCTGGTGGACATCTCCACCTGGGTGTCCCAGATGACTTTTCAAATTCAAGGAATAACAACTCTGAAGTAAAGAGATGAAACCTACCTTGCTTAATATTGCTATTAGGACATTAGTTTAAATGACATTACCGGGGCCTAAGAATGACCAGCTCTCTAACCCCAGGTAGGTCCCTCATCTCTGGGCCTTAGCCTCCTCATTATAAAAGAAATTGGTTAGACTAGATGATTTCTAAAACTCAGATATGCGTTTTTTAAAATTGGGTAATTGAACATTTTATTTTAAATTTTTATTGTTAATCTTTTGTTTTTATGTCACCTCCATTTCCAGTATCCCTCTTTCCGTCCCATATGTAGAAAACCATTTTTTTTTTAAATAAGAAAGAAGGAAAAAACTGTTCATTAGAACCAGTGGTCCCCAAGTCTGACCATATATGCCAGGCTCCACACCCACAGCTCCCTCCCTCTGCAAAGAGAGGAAGGGAGTGCATTCTCACATCTCTTCTTCAGGGCCAGGCTGAGCTTCTATATAGGATTCAGTCTGGAATTTTTGTTCTTTATATTTATTTTTTGTAGTCTTTGTGTGTACTGTTTCCTTGTTCTTACTTCATTTGTATCTGTTCATGTAAGTCTTTTCATTTTTCCCTGTATTATTCATATTCATCATTTCTTATGACACAGTAGTATTTCATACTATTTTTTTTTCTTTTTGCTAGGCAATCAGGGTTAAGTGACTTGCCCAAGGTCACACAGCTAGTGTCACAGGTTGTTTGTCGAGACCGGATTTGAACTCAGGTCCTCCTGACTTCAAAGCCAGAGCTCTATCCACTGTGCCATCTAGCTGCCCCAGTATTTCGTACTGTTCTTATGCCAGAACATTTTGGCTGAACAATTTATAGGGGGGTCTCATAGGATTATAGGTTTAGACGTGGAAGGGACTGTAGGAGTTAGCTAGTCTAGTGCCCTCACTTTACATCCAAGGAAACTGAGGCCCAGGCATGTTAAGGGAGTTGCCTAGTGTTACCCAGGTTGTAAGCAGCAGAACCAGGATTTGAACCCAAGTCCTCTAACTCCAACTAGAACATTCTTTCCATCATTTCATGATTTTACAGTGGGGTTTGATGGTTAGGTATTACTGATATTATTGCAAAATGACAGTTGGGTAGCCTTATATGATATATACCCTTATAGGAGAGACTCTGTTTTTTTCCATTATATTTGGGAGGTTTAGGACTATATAGCTGTCTTCTTCATCTCTTTCCACCAGCTCCAAGATGTTCACTTCTTCCAGTCAGTGGGTGGGACTCCCATGCTTGCCCCCTGCCTCCGAGGGACAGTCTTGCTTCGGGGCTTTTCTCAGCAGAAATCTCCAAAGCAGTCTCCCCACTCATTCTGTGGGGTTGTTGTGCATCTGCGGCTATTATTAGAACGTCATCTGGGACTTCCCCTCTACCTGTGGACAGCCAAGGCTCTGGAGGAGATAACTAGCAAGTGAGAGGAAAGGGGGGGATGGCTATAGGGGTAAAGAGAGTTCTCCCTCTCCTTTCACCCCCACCTCCCCTCCCTTGGGACAAGAGAAAGACAGCTTTTGCCTGTGACAAGGAGGCCTGGGTTTTGAAATGGTAGGGATAGCTGGGGAAGAGGAAGAGGAGGAAGTCTGGGAAAGTCAGACACTGGAGGGATCAATATCTGTTGTGACTCCAAGGTCAGGGAGTTAATCTTCCTTCCCTGGCCAAGGCTATGTCCTCGTTTGCTGAGGCACCGTCAGCTGTTACAAAGCTCAACTTCTGGGACCGCTGGAGTTGGGGAGTTGCTTCTGGCTCCCACCTTGGATGCTCTAGCCCCACCTGGGAGACCCACCCGGAACGTATATCAAGAAGTCCTAGAGGATCCACATCACTGTCCTCTCCAGGAGGTATGAGGATATAAGGGATAGGAGGGTAGAAAGGCTGAGATCTAAGGTCCAGGTGACTGGAGAAGCAAGGTCTTATCTCTGTTCTCTCCAATCCAGTACTCTCTGCTACAGCCTCCATGCTCCTTCCCAGCTTTGGCTGCCTTCAAGGAGGATGGGCAGCGTAGGGCCTGGGCAAATTTTGACCCTGTGACTCTGTTACCTTTGCCTGAGGTCGCCTACCTACCAAGTTGTGTGCTCAATTCCCGTCTGGCCTGGTCCTGGGTCTGCTTATCACCCTCTGTTTTCCAGCCACCTCCGGTAAGTGAGATTATTCTTTCTCATATGCTCTACCCCCTGCACTCATTCTCTAACCATTTGCCTCCTCTTTCTTCTTTCCTGTGAGGGGAGAGGCCTTTTGTCTTTGGTCAACTCTGTCTTTTTTCTTCCCCAGGTACTCCTGGGGGTCCTGGTGGCTTCATCTCATTGGGGATGGCTGCAGCTTCGAGACCAAAGTGGTTCCCTACCCTGTCTACTCTTGCCTAAGCCTTCTCAGGCTTTTATTGACCCCCGGCTTATAGGTACAGGAACTGAGATAAAACGTGAAGGTTAATGGGCTCAGACTTGGATGTTTTGAAAGGAAGTAGCAACTGGGATTTGTGAGGGTGGGAGGGCACAGAGACTTGGGAGATCTAACTGATCAGGGGGTGAAAAGTGATGATGTTGTTCCTGGCCTAAACTGCAACTCCAAGCATGCCACATTACTCAGTTAATAAAAAGGGAAAATCATTATCTTTTCCCAAGGGACTTGTTGAGGTTTTGAGACAAGTGGAGGATACTAGAGTTAAGAGTTCTTTGATTTGGCGATAGTAAAACAGCATTAGGAGATGTGAAGGAATTAGAATCTGCCATATTGGACTGGGGAAGGACTGTATATAGAAGAAGAGTAATAAATACGAGGACTGGGAAGACATGGCTAGATTTGACATGTTGGTGGAATCTTTATTTGAATATTAGACCCGAGTTCAAATCCTGCCTCAGACGCTTACTAGATATGTGATCCTGGACAAGTCATTTAACCTGTTTGCCTCAGTTTCTTCATCTGTAAAATGGAGATAATAATAGCACTTACTTCCCAGGATTGTTGTATGGTCAAATGAAATTATAAAGTACTTAACACAGTGCCTGGCACATAGCAAGCATTATGTAAATGTTAGGTGCTGTTATCATCACCATCATCATCATCATCATCATTATCATTAATCCTCAGGAGGCACAGAAGACCTGGGGTCTTTCTGATTTGAATAGCCTCTGTCATTGGGAATGAACAGAAGCCCAGAGAGAGATGGTGTAGTAGTGTTGTTTGAAAGAGCTCTTCTAGACTGAGGGGTCATAAGATCTGTTTTCCTGTTCTGCTCCATCACTTAGCTATTTTTGTGTCACCTCTTTGGGCCCTGTTTCCTGTAAAATGGGACAATGATTATAGTGTTATCTACCTCACAAAAGTCCTCAGATGCCTCAGAATAGCATAGAGGTAAACCTTGACCCTTAGGGCTGCTAGGTGGCTCAGTGGATAGAGACCCAGGTCTGGAGTCAGGAAGACCTGAGTTCAAATCCGGCCTTAGACACTAGCTATAGAACTCTGTTCCAGTCACTTCACTCTATTTGCCTCAATTTGTCATCTGTAAAATGAACTGGAAAAGGAAATGGCAAACCATTCTAGTGTCTTTGCCAAGGAAACCTTCAATGGGGTCACAAAGAGTTGTACAGACGGAAAATGACTGAACAACAGCAGCCTTGACCTGAGGTTCTCAAAGATTGTGCCAGTAGAGTATGAGCTCTGGTAGGTTTAACTGTGCTGGGAACGCTTCTAGTATAGTCCCAGTGACAAATTACTTGCTTTCTGAGGGCCAGCTGATCTAGGCAGAAAGAGACACTCCAGGAGTATGGTGGCCAGTTGGTAATGAATTCTTTGGCCATGGCAGCATATGAAGCAAAGAACATAAAATGGCCTTTAGTCTTATGTGCCCTGCTTCTGCTTCTGCAGTGATGGTTGCAGAATGATATAAAAGGGAATATTTAGATTTTTTATAAACATTAGTTTCTTTTTTTCCATTAAAATCTGAACTTAACAGACGTCAACTAAAATGAACATTTCCATTATATATCATTGTATATTCATATATACAATTATATTAAGTAATTATATTATTAGTTGTATTATACAATATATTAACATAATATAGCCCTACATAATATACAAACTATATAATATTACATGCAACAATATATCTATGTTAACATAATTATAATAATATAGCTGCCATTAATGTAATACTTATTACATATATGCTATCTATACAAGTAGAGATACCTATGCATGCATGTGTACACATATGTATTGTATGCACACATACATATGGACAGTAGAACAGAAAGAAAGAAAGAGGTTGTATATGAAACTGAATCTCTGTTATGTACAGGAGAGGTGTCAAACACATAGGGAGAAAAATGGATCTTTCGTGTAATGGAGGACTGTCAAGCATTTCTGAAGAAAAGAACTTAGAACTTTGAAATATAAGTAGAAGTGTCCAGAGAAACCTAGAAAGATACATTTACTTAAGCAATTGGAAGGTGGTATGTGTGATGCTGCAGTGATAACATTTTAAGAGGAAAATAAGAAGTGTGTGTGTCTCCAAAACCTTAATGTCTTCAAAAGTACTGAAGGAGAAAAACAGATGTCCTGGGGGTGGGTTGGTTCTTGCCTGAGTTTTAAAAGGAGAAAGATAAGGGAAGGTAAAAGCAGGGAAAGACTAATTTTAGAAAGAAGGAAGAAGTGAATAGAAGAGTTTACATATCTAGAGTAAGGAGTGGAAGAAAGTAGGGATCAGATGAACCTCTTGCCTGAAATGGACAAAAAAGAGTTACACACACACACACACAATTCTCCAATTTCTTGGGGGTAGAAATACATCAAATTCAACAGGGAAACAATGGCAATAAGGCAGAAGGAGGGTGCGGTTAAGATAATACTGAGAAGGAATAGTAGCAAACAACAAGTTTCCTGATCTTGGGGTAGGGGGAGGGGAGAAAAGCAAAGAACCAGACTCCATGTGGGTGCCTAAGATTTCCTCTTAGACATTTGGGGAATGATTGAACAAATTATGGTATGTGAATATGATGGAATATTGTTTCATCGTAAGAAATTATGTGGGGCAACTAAGTGGCACAGTGGATAGAGCACCAGCCCTGGAGTCAGGAGAACCCGAGTGCAAATCCGGCCTCAAACACATAATACTCACTAGCTGTGTGACTCTGGGCAAGTCACTTAACCCCAGTTGCCTCACACATATAAAAAAAAAAAGTAAAAGAAATTATGAAAGGATTTCAGAGAATTCTGGGTACTAATAACTGAAGTGAGCAGAACCAGAACAATTTATATAAGAACAACATCATTGTAAAGAAAAACATATATGCTTTAAGTCTAAAAGACTTAAAAACTGATCAAGGAAATGAGAAATCATGTCTTCAGGTGAGCTATGATTTGTTATGAGGGGATTTCCCCGTCCTTTTTCTCTTGAGTTTTTAGTTAGGGGGAGATGTCATGGGAACTGGCCAGAGGCAAATACCAGCTTCAGGTATAAACTCATTTTTAAAAAATATTTAAAGAGGATACTGATGAAAGCTTGTGAATAGTATTGTCTCATAAAATAGTAAGAAACCTCAAATGAAAAGGCAAGTTAATAGGAAGCCCAGGAATAGACATCATAGATGTAGAGCTGGAGGGAATCTTAGGCCATTTAATCCATCCCCCTCCTTCCTGAGATGAGGAAGTAACCTGTCTGTGATCACAGAGCTAATAAATGTCGAGCACTACTTGAATGTACCCAGGTTATTTTGACTTCAAGTCAAGCACTCAAATATAATGTTGCTGCTTTTTTTTTTTTTGCCAGGCAATGGGATTAAGTGACTTTCCCAGGGTCACACAGCTAGTAAGTGTTATGTGTCTGAGGCTGGATTTGAACTCGGGTCCTCCTGAATCCAGGGCCAGTGCTCTATCCACCACGCCACCTAGCTGCCCCACAATGTTGCTTCTTAAGAATTTATTTCGAAAGCATTTAAATTTGAAACAAGTGTGGACAACAAATAGATAGAAAAGATTTGCACAGATGTATATAACTGTTTTCTCCATTCTCCATTTCTCCGTTCTCTCCAAGTGCAGAGAAAACCATGTGCCTATTTCTTAACTATTAAAAAAAAATTTTTTTTTCAATTGATCAGAACAGAATGTTACCTTAAAGGCTCTCCAACAACTAGGGGCCTCTCAAACAGATTGTAAACTCATATAAGATTTCCTTGAAAGATATGACTTGACCCTCTATTAACAAGAGAAAAGGTTGCCAGAAGTGTTTGCCCTAGTCATTAGAATTTCAATGCGGTGTTCCACAGAAAGAGGTTCGGAATTTTTCTACAATAAATTGTCCTCCAGATGCTCCTGTTTGCAAATGACATTGTGCTGACTATATGAAGAACTGATAAACTGTTGTTTTTGTTGTTGAGTCATGTCCAACTCTTCGTGATGCCATTTTCTTTATTTTTAATTTTATTAATTTTGATTTATCAACAATCACTTCCATATGCTTTTGAGTTTAAAATTTTTCTCCCCCTTCCTCCCCACTACCCTCCCCAAGATGGTGCACAATCCGATATAGACTTTACATTTACATTCCTATTAAACATATTTTCACATTAGTGAAGTTGTAAGTAAAAATTAAAACCAATAGGAGGAACCTTCAGAAAGATGAAACAAAACTCAACAGAAGGTAAAAGTAAGTGATAGCGATTCGACTTCCATGGTTCTTTCTTTGGATGTGGATAGCATTTTCCATCCGAGGCCTCTGGAGATGTCTTAGATCCTTGTAATGCTAAGAAGGGTTCATTATAACAATATTAGTCATCGTATAACATGGCTGTTATTGTGTACAAAGTCCTCTTGGTTCTGCTCACTTCACTCAGCATCAGACCATATAGGTCTTTCCAGGTTTTTCTGAAGTCAGCCTGTTCATCATTTCTTATAGCACAATAGTATTCCATTACATTCATATACCACAACTTGCTCAGCCATTCCCCAGTTGATGGGCATCCTCTCAATTTCCAATTCTTTGCCACCACAAAAAGAGCTGCTATGTATATGTATGTACATGTGGGTCCTTTTCCCATTTGTTGATCTCTTTGGGATACAGCCCTAGAAGTGCTATTGCTGGATCAAAGGGTATGCACATTTTTGTAGCCCTTTGGGCATAGTTCCAAATTGTTCTCCAAAATGGTTGGATCATTTCACAACTCCACCAACAATGTATTAGTGTTCCAATTTTCCCACATCTTCTCCAACATTTATCATTTTCCTGTTTTGTCATGTTGGCCAATCTGATAGGTGTGATGTGGTACCTCAGAGTTGTTTTGATTTGCATTTCTCTAATCAATAACGATTTAGAGCATTTTTTCATATGACTATAGATGGCTTTACTTTCTTCATCTGAGAACAGTCTGTTCATATCCTTTGACCATTTATCCATTGGAG